GGTTGCTGTGAGCTGTAATGCCATGGCACTCTACCCAGGGGGACAGCTTGAGGCTCTGTCTCAAAAACAAAAAACAAAAAACCCAAAACAAAACAAAACAAACCAACAACAACAACGACAACAACAAAAACTAATCTCAAAGTTATAATGAAATATCACGCTGGGTGCAGTGGTTCATGCCTATAATCCTAGCACTTTGGAGGCTGAGGTGGGCAGATGGCCTGAGCTCACAGGTTTGGAACCAGCCTGAGCCAGAGCAAGACCCTGTCTCTAAAGCCAGGTGTTGTAGTGGGCATCTATAGTCCCAGCGACTTGGGAGGCTGAGGCAAGGCAATTGCTTGAGCCTAAGAGTTTGAGGCTGCTGTGAGCTGTGATGCCACGGGACTCTACTGAGTGTGAACAAAGTGAAACTCTGTCTCCAAAAAAAAAAAAAAAAAAGAAAAGAAAAAGGAAATGATGGCACATATGGAATAGTTTTTATTAGTTTTTTTTTGAAACAAAGTCTCACCCTGTCACACAGGCTGGAGTAATGTGATCATTACTTATGGCAGCCTTGACTCCTGGGCTCAAGTGTTCCTCCCACCTCATCTTCCCAGGTAGCTGGGATTATGGGTGTGCACTTTCATGCTGGCTAATTTTCAAATTTTTTGTAGCGATAAGGCCTTGCTATGTTGCCCAGGTTGGTCTCATACTCTTGAATTCAAGTGATTCTTCATCCTCCTGCCTTGGCCTCCCAAAGTGCTGGGATTATAGGCATGAACCACCACACCCAGATTACATTTGTTTAGAATTAGAAAAAAATGAAATTACACTAAGTGACCATTATTTTCTGCCATCACATTGGCTAAACATGGCAAAGATGTGGGGAGAAGGGCACTGTTGAGGCTGCTGGTGCGATCTTCTATGCATGGGAATGGTTTCCCACCCCCACCTACTCTGTCCCTCTGGGTGGTGCTTGTATCTACAGCTTCCCTACCCAGCCCTACTGTCTCTTCCAGGTTTGAGGGCATCAGTCAGGCTCTGCAAGGGCCTAGCTGCCTTCTCAGCTTCAGCTGTGATGGAGACAGCAGGGATAGTAGGAGCTTTGTAAAGGGCAAGCTAGGAAACCTCACTGCGTCTCAGTTTCCTTATCCGTAAAATGAGGTGCTCATATAGCACCTTTTCATGTGGTCTTTGGAGGAGTAACTTAATAATCATGCAGGTGAAGAGCTTAGCTCAAAAGTCTGCTCTTGTACAGGAGAGTGTCAACTACCACAGGAAAAAGCTGACTGTTTTTTCCTGTCAACTTCTGTGACAGCTTTGAGTTATGGGTAAACCAGGACACAGTGGTCAGTAGAGGAATCTCACTGTTCTGGACTGACTAGAGAAGTGTGGTAAAGAAGGCCCCAGGATAGGAAGAGTGAGCCAGTTTTAAAGACAGGAAAACTGAGGCACACGGAGTAGAGGGAAGGACTTTCCCAGGCAGTGCTCTATGGACTCAGGCCGACCTGACCACAAATTCCTCAGGTCTGAAGTGGTGTGGTTCTGGGATGCAGGATGAACATGGCCAGCAGTGGTCTGTGACCCCTGACTCCTGTAGGCAGGAGGAGGAGAATCCCACCTTCTATGAAAACAGGATGGATGCTCTGGGCTGCCTTCCTGGGGCAGGGAGCTCTGGAGCCAGACTCAGCCAGGTCAAATCCGAACTCCACCATGCCCAGTTGTGTGATGTCAGGCACCCCCTCCCCAATCTTTCTGATTCTACTGTCCCATTCTGTCAATGGGGTTCTTTGTCCCATGAGATCTGGACTATTTTGTGCTAATAACATTTCCTTTTTTATTTTTTGAGATTAGAGTCTCATTCTGCCACCCTGGGGATGAGGGCTGTGGAGTCGTCAGAGCTCACAGCAACCTCAAACTCTTAGGCTCAAGTGATCCTCTTGCCTCAGCATCCCCAGTAGCTGGGGCTACAGGAGCCTGCCACAACATCAGGCTATTTTTAGAGACAGGGTCTTGCTCTTGCTCAGGCTGATCTTGAACTCCTGAGCTCAGGCCATTCACCTGCCTCGGCCTCCCAGAGTGCTGGGAGTACAGGAATGAGCCACTGCACCCTGCCACACTTCTGTTTCTTTTGGTTCATGAAACACCAGCCTCCGTCTTCTCTGGCTACCATTGTCATTACCAAAGAAGGAGGAAGAAAGAATGGCTGCAGAGCCCAAATACCCGGGGTTTATGGTCACCTCCTCTTTACAAACCTGGGTGCAGAATCCAGATGATACAAAAGACCCTTCATTCCACAGAGAGGACCTCTCTCTCTCTATGCCTGTCCCAAGCCACACAGGCAACCACTGAGAGTAGGGGCTTATGTATCCTTCAGGAAATATTTTCTGCATGTATAATATAAACAAACACAAGACATTCCCCCATCTTTGTTTTTGTACAACAGGAGTGCGTTCTACACGCTCTGCTGCACACTGCTCTATTCTTTGCATTTCTATGTAATGATTTACTTGGGCTCTCATTGCACAGCGGCCTCTGAGGAGGTGGCTCCTTCCTCACATCTGTGCCAAGAAGTAGTGCTGCTTGTTTAGCCACCCTCCTCTCAGAGGACATTTACGTTGTGTCTGACCTTCTGCTGTTACAGTGGCCGCAACATTTGTCCTTGTGCACACTGTACACCACATCAGGGTATCCACAGAGTAAATTCTTAGAAGTGGAATGGCTGGATCAGAGGCCAGAGGCATCTGCAACTTTGATAAATATTCTCCTCCTGTCCCCTGTGGAGGCTTTACTGATTTGCATTGACAGCTGCAATTAATATCGGATTTTAATAAAGAATAGAGTTGTGAATATTGAACACAGAATGGCAAGGGCAGAGAGCCCTGGATTTGGGGTCAGGAAACTGGAATGCTATCTTGACAATAGTAATGATAATGAGAATAACAGCAGCTATGACGCAAGGGAGCTCCCGTGCACCCCAAGCCAGGAATCATCCTCGTGTAGCAGGTCTGAGAGGCTGAGTACCTTACTCATGTACACACAGTTTACTAACGGAATCAGCATTCACAGCCAGGACTGTCTGACTGCTAAATCCATGCCCATATAACCTCCATGCCACCGTGGTACCTGGTTGTTGACATTAACTTGCTGCATTGAGCAAGCCAATGGCCAGAGTCCTAGCTTCTTTTTTTTTTTTTTTTTTGAGACAGAGCCTCAAGCTGTCCCCCTGGGTAGAGTGCCGTGGCATTACAGCTCACAGCAACCTCCAACTCCTGGGCTCAAGCAAGTCTCTTGCCTCCACCTCCCAAGTAGCTGGGACCACAGGCGCCCGCCACAACGCCCGGCTATTTTTTGGTTGCAGCCGTCATTGTTGTTTGGCGGGGCCGGGCTGGGGATTCGAACCCGCCACCTTAGGTGTACGTGGCTGGCGCCTTAGCCGGTTGAGCTATGGGCGCCGAGCCGAGTCCTAGCTTCTTAAAGAGAAGCCTGGTAAATTGGATAAGGGGCAGACTCCCTCATTTGCCTGCTTTATTACTGGGGATGAGTGCAGACTGGGGGAAGTTGGTGTGGCCACAGTGTCAGGAAAGCAGTAGAGACATAATGACTCTCTACCTTAGGGAAGCTGGCAATGACGCGATCTCGGCTCACAGGGGGCCCCAAAGGTGTCAGGGAGGACCTCATTCTTCCAGAATCCTGTGGACACAACCAGTGAAAAGGGAGTGAGGGAGTCATGCAAATACTTTAACACTCACCCATGAGTTTCTCCCTAACTTCTCATCAGCTTTAAAGACAGATCTACGCCTTCCTCTCCTAGTTCCTAAAGGATGGAACCTCGGGGTGTACGCGGGGGCCTTTTAGTTTCAGCCTTTTTCCTGGAAGCCCTTAGGCCCACCCAGCGTCTGATCTCTCAAACCTACTCTGCAGCTCATTCTCTCGTTCAGCCCTTCTCCCCACTAGGGTGGCCTTGGCCAAGGTCTGCTGTTATCCTTCCGCACCCGACCCGGCTCCTCCTCTGGGACCCAGGGTGGTGAGTCAGGAAATGAGGCGGCTCTGGGACTCGCAGGCCGCGTTCAGGTTATGGGGGTGGGCAGTGGGCGTGGGGTGCGGCGCCCTCGCGACCCCGGCCTCCGGGATGGCCCCGCGCGGGGGAAGGCTGAGGATCGCACAGAGGGGCGGGCGAACTCACCCGCAGCAGCTGCAGAGGCTGGGGGTTCGGCGCGGCCTGGTCTGCACCCGACCCACGGCGGCAATCACCAGGGCAACGAGGGACACGCCGGACTTGCCGGCGTCTGACGAATCCCTGACGTTGGGGGCGGGGTATGGGTGGAACTAAGGCGGAAGAAGTCCTCCCAGGCCCTGCACGGGCGATCGCCATAGCAACGAGAATTTTCCCCAGAGTCCGAGAGGGGCGGAACGCTGGGAATCACCATGACTACAAGGGCGGTGCTGGCTGGAAGATAGTGGGCGGGGCCAAAAGGCCAGGGAGGTGGAGCCTGTCTGAGGAGTGAGGCGTGTAAAGTTGACAGTGCAGAGATTCGTGCCACTTCTGGCGCTCCTAGGTTGGGGGGGGGTGGTGGCAGTCAAGGTATAAGAGCTCTTGCTGTAGTATTGGTGTTTGATTGGAGTCAAGCACTCTCCAGCGGCAAGGGATGGATGTCTCCCGCATACTGACAATCTGCATAGTTCCGAATCCAAGGTTGTCTGAATATCATATGCCCGGCTTCCAGAGCTCAAGCTTCAAAATTGATTTTCTTGATTAATGACTACTGTAAAGCTTACCCAAGTCACGAGCTCCTCTGATCTAATTTCTGTTTGAACAGTGAAGTATGTGAGACTAGATGGCCTCTAGAGACCGTTATAAAACCGTGGAACCAGATTTGGAGGAGTCTTCTGGGGTTCCCAGCTTTGAGATACTATTTGGTTCAGCTTCCTTATTTCTCTGTATCACAATATGAGATCCTTGGTACACAGATCTCAGTCAGTCATCTTCACTTCAAAGCTAAGTGTGCTGCAGGCTGATGTTTGATGCCTTTTAACAAGTTTCACTGCAAAGGTCACAGGCTTAGGGGTGAATTTAGGTGGGTTGCTCCACCTCTGGTAACTCAGTCTACTCAGCTATAATGTGGACCTAATTATCTACTTCAAACGTTCGCTGTGAGATTCACTTGAGATGGTGAAACTGCTTTTAGAGTGTAAAGATGGATTCAAGTCCATTAACATACATTTGTTCTACATTTCCTAAAAGCCTCCTGGTATTTTCCTGGCAATTGGGAAGCAAAGAAACAGAACTGACCTGGTGTCCACCCTCCAGGAAGTTGGTGTCCAGCAGTCCAGCATGGCTTGAGGATACAACTGTGCAGGGCCTTGAGTGGTAGGCTAGGAGTTGGACCCAGGTCTGAGATAGTGGGGAATAGCCGGAGGGTGGGTGGGTCTGGCTTGCTTTTGAGAACCATCACTCTGGCCAGCTATGTGTTGGGTCTCCTGCAGAGGGCCAACCTTTGTCATTACCTGGCCAGTCAGCTTGCAGAGTAAGGAGAGTGGGCCAGGGCTAGCTAGCAGTCCTGGGATCAGGATGTATGATTTGGGGAAAGCTACTGAACCTAGTCCCCAAACTGGATGTTATCACTTCATGGATGTACTTTGAGGATCTGCAGGCAGAATGGGGACTGAAGACTCCATTCTTTTTTTTTTTTTTTTTTTT